GGGGCACAGAAGGGGTTGAGCGCAGTCTGTCCGTGGCGGGTAAGGCGTCGACGCGGCTGAGGTTACTGCCGTGTCTGCTAATGGCGCACAGCGAGAAGGGCAATCCGCCGTCGGACGATGGATCAGCTACTGCTGCTCCTGCGGCAGCAGCAGGAGGGGAGGCGGGGGGTTCGGGAGCAGGCTCGGCAGCACCGCCACGTGGCAATGCGGTGAGTGTGGTGGCAATGGCAAAAGGCGAAGGTCCAATCATGGTTATGATGGCCAAGAGGATGAGAGCTTTGAGGAAGAAGCTCGACAAGATTACAAGGGTGGAACAGGCCAAGGCAGAGGGCAAAGCGGTGGACAAGGACCAGGAGCAGCTGATAAAGTCGAAACCCGGTGTGGAGGCGTTGATTGAGGAGTACGAGAGGCTAAGGCAGCCGCTTCTCACGGCGTTGAAAGAAGAGCTGACGATCAAAGAAGCCGAGATCCAAGAGTCTTTGGAGGCACAGAGAAGAGATGAGGAGGCGGCAGCTGCCGCCGCCGCCGCGGCGGCAGCTGCAGTTGCTGCGGCGGCGGATGCGGTCGAGGAGGTTGACGAGGTAGAAGGAGACGCCTCCGTCGTCGAGGCAGCAACTGCCGTGGCAGCGCCAGATGCGACAGCGGCGGCGGCATCTTCCGAGGCTGAAGATGATGCAGACGCTGGTGATGGAGCCGACGCTGAAGATCGAGGAAGGGAGAGCGATGGCCAAGAGACCGTGGAAAACCGCGATGCGGGTCATGTCCTTCCGGGGGTGGAGGATCGGAACGTGTACGAAAGCGTGGAAGGATTAACTGCCACGTCAGATGAGAAGGTCCATAGCCATCCGCCGCCTCACCTCAAGCCCCTCGAGCCCGAGGAACTGGTGGATGTCCTACAGCTCATCTACTTCGCGCAGCTGTTTGACGTGAGATCGCATGCGCAGGCTCCCAGTGTCGTATGGAGCAAGGTTCATGAGCGGAGCTCGTGCTTGTCGTATGATTACGTGCGTGATGACGCATCCTCGCCGTTGGATGAGGCAGATCTTGATTGCATCTCCTTGATGGGCAATCTCGTTACCTCACGGCCGCCCAACGTGGCACTAAGTCACAAAGATGCCCTCGATAGATGCCTGCAATTTGTCAAGCATTGGTTGAACTCCTCAGAAGATTATGTCGAGATCGGGGAATACAGAATGACATGTATCCTCTACCTCCCTTTTGGGTCCACCCTCTATACTTGTTTCCCTCCGTTAACCTCTTCTACAAGATTCTGGTGCCGGCCTTGCTCACATTTTCGGCTTTCCCTTTCTTGTACTCTGTGAATGAATATCCCCCCCCCCAATCCCCCCCCCCCGGCCCCTTTTCCATTTTTTTGATCGTTTGTTCCCTTGCATCTATCCAAGACCCATGCGTATGTTGATCTATAATTGATCGTTCTCCCTCAGCGCCCCCGACCCCCCCCCCTCCGTCCGGGCTCCACTTTTCCCTAATTCACTTTGCAGCATGGGTGTGCAACCTAAAGGGGCCTGCACATGCGCATGTTAAACCACCAGTACTTCCTGGAGTCGTGCCCGTCAACGCGCCACGATTTTATGAAATGTACGGGCTACTACAGGAGCGCCCAAATTCATCCGACTAGAAACGTTTCTACTCTATTTTTTTTTCCGCGGCCGATAGCTCGGCCAAGTACTGGTCGGTGGTTTGATGTACAAGTGATCATTCTCCCCCCCCCTTGCCGAAAATGCGCTCCCTTTCTCCTACTTCACTTTTCAATATGGTGTGTAACCTGTGACCTTTCTGCTCTGGAGGCGTCTGCACAATACCGGGAAGGCGATGTGGCACCAGCCAGGCATGAACTTGCCTTCTCTTCCACCCACGTGTGCATGGCGTGCACAGTGCGCGCTTTCGGGCGGACGAGATAGCATGTGATCAACTGTACATTTTTCACAAGGCCCATAGGTGCAGAGAGAGGAGGCAACAAGGAATGTTCGTGGCAATGGGGGAGACTGGGTGAGAGTGAGCGCGCGCGCGCGTTAGAGAGAGAGAGAGAGAGAGAGAGAGAGAGAGAGAGAGAGAGAGAGAGAGAGAGAGAGAGAGAGAGAGAACTTGCGCAAAAACTGATGATAGAGGTTGTGGAGTTGTACGAAGCGGCTGAGTTTTGTGGCAATCGTCCGAGTACAGTTCCGAGAGAACACGGATGTGGGAGGAGGTCATGCCTGTGATATCGGGTCGTAAACTGCTTCATCCGCGCCAAGCAGTTACCACTGAGGATGTCACGCATGCTACCAACCTCGGCAGAGGCTGGCACTGATGCTGATGCCGACGGTGATTCCGATGGTGAGAGCGACGATATGATTCCCGATGCAGTACCCCTACTGCTCCCGACGCTGCCATTCCAGTTACCGACGCTGTCACCGAACCTGTCATTCGTGGTGCCATTGTTGCTACCCTCGAAAGCTACGATAGTAGCTGTACTACTCCTGAGGTATTGCTACCGAAACTGCCATTCCGGCTATCGACGCTGCCACCAAGACTCCCTTCAGTTGTGGCATTGTTGCTACCCTTGAAAGCTATGGGAGTAGCAGTATTACTCTTGAGGTTATGCTACCGAAGCTGCCATTCCGACTACCGACGCTACCCCCAAGCCTCCCTTTAGTGGTTTCATTGTTGCTACTCTTGAAAGCGACGATGGTCGAAGTACCTCTTTTACCGACGCTGCCACCAAGCCTCACTGTAGTGGTGGCATTGTCGCTACTCCTGAAACACGCGATTGTGTGTGTGTGTGGGGGGGGGGGGCGCGCACTCCTGAGGTGCTGCTAACGAAGCTGTCCCTTAAGGGTGGCGTTATTGCTACCCTTGAAAGCTACGATGGTAGCATTACCACTCCTGAGGTACTGCTACCGAAACTGCTTATCGACCCTCCCATTAGTGTTGCGGCTACGGCAGCTGCGGCTACCATTGTTCGCTGCGGCGGAGATCGAGTCCACTGCTGACGCCGCTGGGCTCTCGTCTTGTCTTGATATATATACAGCCAGGTATAATGTTTGTCTAGCAATGGAGAAAGGGAGGCAGATGGAGGAAGGTTGGTGGTCCCTCTCATTGGGACTAGTCTGAGGGGAGGCTATACGTTTTCTGTGTTTGTCTCTGTGGATACACTGAGTAACAGGTACAACGTTTGACCTTCAAAGAACAAATGTGGAAAACTTCGAAAAGAGCTATACAGCTCTTGATGAAATTGGGCAAAAAAAACACAGGGAAGGGTATCCTGAATGCCGAGTAATCTGCCGCGGAATCACCCTTCCTTTTTCACTATACCTGCTGCCGTTCACAGTGCCTGTATTTATGGTCGTACTTTGCTGTCTACTTTGTCCTTCGCATATCTTTCGACGTCTGCATTGCCTTCCTTGCCTCTCATTTACTTCCAACGGTTACAGTTAAAAAAGCGAGGAAACGTCGATATGAAACGAACTGAGGACTAGCTCACAAACCTCCCTCGTAAGTCATCGTGTACCGTGGAGTGGGCAAAATGATCGGCATCGTACGTGCGGTGTATTAACAATAGACAAGGCTGATCGAGGTGCTATGCCGGACTTACGATGAATCCCGGTTCAAACCCTCGGTGACAGGTCGGATCCCGACTCAAATCATTCCCCGCCGTCCGCCCCTCCCGCCCCCCTCTCCACCCGCCCGCCCGCCCTCGGCACATCCCCCTCCACCCTCCGCACACCCCCCTCCGCCTCCTTCCCAATTCCCACCTGTCACCTCCCGGGGGGGGGCTTCTGATTTGTTTCTCGACTCCCGCTTATTGGCAGGAGTTGGGGTGGAGGATCTCGCCGACGGCTCTCATCGATCGGCGTGCCTTGATCTTATGGCATAGTCGCGCTGGAGCTTCCAGGACTGAGCACCGAACATAATGGCGGTCAGATACCGCCAGGTCAGGCTGTTCTTCCGGTGAGGTACCTCCAGGTCAGGCTGTTCTTCCGGTGAGGTACATCCTGGGAAGTCCTAGTGTTGCTACGCTCGTATTGTATTGATTTCGGGTTTTGAGCTTTTGCGAATCCTACAGGGATATAGCTTTTACTTCTTTTTGGTCATCATATGCAAGAAAGTTCTATTGTTTGTGAGTATGTGTTGATTGGATTGATTACGGGTTTTGAGGTTTTCCGAATTCTACAGGGCTAAGAGTTTTTACTTGTTATTGATCATTGTATAGAGTTGGTAGGTGTGCTGTCGTGCCTGATCACAGGGTTCAGCCTCCTGATGAGTCGGTGAAACTCCGACGGAAGTCTGTCACAGCCTTCCGTTTCGTCCTTCTCTCCCTTTCTGCCTACGGTTCACTGGGCAGTTCTCAATGACTATATACTGTATATACTGTATGTATCGGCATACTTCATTCTGGATTATTGACCAACTCTCGTGTGACACCTGTCGGGACAGAGACGCGGTGCGCCTTGACTGTGGAATGCATCATCTATGCCATAGCCATTATCAATCTATTGCGACTGCCGCCGTCTGTGCTGAAGGGTGTCCAACATTTCGTCATTGTACACATCCCTATCACCCGGGATAGATGAACGCCCTGCTGGCCTTTTGACATGTGGACAACATCATGATGTCCTCTGTCAGGACTGTTTTGATGGGATGGTTCGTGCTAGCCGTCCTGCTGAATGCTGTGCTGGCGCAACTCTCCTTGGGTATCCTTGTGAACATCCACATCATCCTCACTGTAGATGTCCTATCTGCCGAGGTGGGGACAGATAAAGCCTTGGACACTACTGACAGATGCGGTGTTAAAGAAAGAAGAAGAAGAAGAAAAAAAACGAAAAAAGTACAAATTGCCCAAAAAAAAAAGAAGAAAAAAAAAARAAAACAAGAACAAGAAAAAAAAAAGTGGGATGTGTTATTTGCTTTGTGGCAATTGGATTATCTGTGGGATGTGTCATTTGCTTTGTTTGACTGACAGGCTTTCTTTCCCTGTGAGGTTTGGTTTCTTTTCTTTACCTCTTTTTTGCCTTTTGGCTGCGTGCAAGTGGGTCCTTGTGACACACGGAGATGGGGGCAGCCAGAGCTCAACCTGTCATCCACGTGGCTGGCCTTGTACGTAAGAGGTGATGAACAGGTGGGGCTTTCCTTCCGTACTTCTTTTCCTTTTCTTGTTGTCTTTTTCCGCCTTTGCGCTCCGATTCAGTGTGACAATATATATGTATCGGCAAATTGAGTTTTCCATCTGGTGTGTGTGAGTGAGTCTGCTTTGATTTTCGTTACGGATATATATCCTGAGGGCAGTGGTTGGTGCCGACCTCAGGGTATCAGTTGTCGGGCAGTCGTTGCTGTTTAACCGTAACCGGGTTTAATGTTGATTATCACTTTAGTATCAATCATTGGTTGGGGGTCGCTGCACACTGTAGAGGGAGGGTTCAGCCTCCTGATGCGTGGGTGAAACTCGACGGAACAGTCTGTCACAGCCCCTCGTTTGTTCCTCTTCGCCCTTTCTGCTTACGGTGGGCGGTCGAATAGTCACGCGGGGACTGCTTTTTTGGATGTATCTGACTGGAATCGCGTTCAGATCCATTATGAATGTCCCAGTGCGAGTATGCCGTAACCTGGGACCCATTCGCGACTTCTGTTCACGTAGTATATCCTCTAGGTTAGCAGATCGAGTAAACCGCTCACCTTTTTTTTCGGCTAAACAATGGATTACCGGAATTAATGCGATGAGATCAATCCACGTGTCAGGAGCGCTGACACCCGGGTGTCATTCCTTTCCAAGGAATAGTCTGTTCTCAGGCAGAGCACTAGTGACAACGTAGCTACTACCGTTTGGCGACAAGCACGGACTCTAGAATGGGATAAGGAAAAGTACGTGAAGTATGTGACGTATGTGAAGGGTAATTTGGGGAGGAGGGGAGTAGAGGTGAAAGTACACAGGAGCAGCAGCAGCAGCAGCGGAATGGAAAAGGCTATGGAGCACAACAATCTCGGGAAACAGAAGATCATCACGGCAAAAGAGCAGGTCACTAGAACAGCTGACTGCCTTCTGTGAAAAGGGTTCGAAGTTGAGTCACGGGTTCGAAGTTGAGTCACGGTGGTTCGAAGTTGAGTCACGGTGGTTCGAAGTTGAGTCACGGGTTCGAAGTTGAGTCACGGGAGTTCGAAGTTGAGTCACGGGGGTCCGAAGTTGAGTCACGGGGGTCCGAAGT